GCAGCCCTAGGAGGTCAGGGTGACTCCCACTGCCAGGCCGGGGAAGAAAAGCAGAAATCAGTCTGGGTTGCGCAGAGCTGGAGGACGGCACAGAACAGAAATAACCAGCTTGGCAACAGAGAAGGCCGGGCTGAGTCACAGACCAGAGAGCGGACGTAAATGCAGAGCGGCCCAGGATCCGAGGGCCACGTCTCTGGGCAGCTGCCCGCTGCCCACTCCCAGCAGCAGGACGGGGTGCCCGGCCCTGGTCTCACACCTTCCGCATCCTCACTGACCTCAGAAATCCACCCGCTCCCTCGCTGCCGGCTGGGCCGGGCCTCTCTGCATTTCTCCCGCTTCAAAACAAAACTCCCTTCAGTTCCCCAAAAGGCAAACTGGTTCCTTGCCCAGGCCAGGCACCGGGCGGGGGGACATTGTCACATATTAGTTCATTGGGGAGCACCAGGGTGAGTGTGTTCGCGTGTTTTTTGGGGGGTGGGGAGGCAGGTGTTTTTGTTTTTTAGGGAGGAAGGGAGAGGGAGAAAGATAGAAACATCAATAATGAGAGAATCGTCCTGACCGGTTTGGCTCAGTGGATAGAGTGTCGGCCTGGGGACTGAGGGGTCCCGGGTTCGATTCTGGTCAGGGGCATGTACCTGGGTTGCGGGCACATCCCTAGTGGGGAGTGTGCGGGAGGCAGCTGATCGATGCTTCTCTCTCATTGATGTTTCTAACTCTCCCTCTCCCTTCCTCTCTGTAAAAAAACAATAAAATATATTTTTAAAAAAATAATAATGAGAGAATCATTGATCGGTTGCCTCCTGCACACCTCACACCGGGGACTGAACCGCAACCCTCGGCATGTGCCCTGACCAGGAATCAAACCATGTCCTCCTGGTTCATAGTTTGACGCTCAACCACTGAGCCACGGCGGCTGGGCTTGTGTGCATGTTTGAAACACATACACACAGAGAGAAAAGCATAAAACGTGAATACAGCCCTGGCCAGTTTGGAGAGAGCTATATTCCAAACTGGATAGAGCATCGGCCTGTGGACTGAAGGGTCCCGGGTTCAGTTTTGGTCAACGGCACATGCCCAGGTTGCGGGCTCGATCCCCAGTAGGGGGTGTGCAGGAGGCAGCCAGTCAATGATTCTCTCTCATCATTGATGTTTCTACCTCTCTCTCTCTCTCTCTCCCTTCCTCTCTGAAATCAATAAAAAAAATATATATATTTTAAATGTCCCTTATGTTTTAATAAAGAATTGGCTATTTAGCCCTAACCGGTTTGGCTCAGTGGATAGAGCGTCGGCCTTCGGACTAAAAGGTCCCAGGTTCGATTCCGGTAAAGGGCATGTACCTTGGTTGTGGGCACATCCCCAGTTTGAGGTGTGCAGGAGGCAGCTGATCGATGTTTCTCTCTCATCGATGTTTCTAACTCTCTATCCCTCTCCCTTCCTCTCTGTAAAAAATCAATAAAATATGTATCTTAAAAAAAAAAGAATTGGCTATTTACAGTTTTTCAAAGTCCCTCCCACTCCTCAGCTGATGGGATTATTTGCCACTGAAGGCCACAGTTGTGTCCCTCCCTGGACCCTGCTCTTAGCCACACCCAAAGCCATGCCCCCACCCCCACCCCAGGAGTGGTCCAAGGCTCAGATACAAAGGTCCACCCCCTCCTTTTATTTATTTATTTTTAAACTATTTTTATGGATTTCAGAGAGAGGAGGAGAGAGGGAGAGAGAGATAGAAACATCAATGATGAGAGAGAATCATTGATCAGCTGCCTCCTGCACACCCCCTACTGGGGATCGGGCCTGAAACCCCAGGCAGGTGCCCTGATCTGGAATGGAACCGTGACCTCCAGGTTCACAGGTTGACACTCAACCACAGAGCCACACAGGCAAGGCCTCCCCTCCTTTTATGAACTGATGAGCTATTTATTTGGATGAGACAAAAGGTCTCCATCAGCAAGTCCACCTCTGCGTATGCATCCCAAAGAATAGGAGTCAGGGACTAGACAGGCACTTGCACACCCGTGTTCACAGCGGCATTATTCCCAGGAGCCAAAAGGTGGAAACAGACTAAGTGTCCGTTGCTGGTCAGCAGGGCCGGCTTCCTGGACATAGGACCCTGGCTCAGAAGGTTTTTAGTCTTGAGATTCTCCTAATTGTTTAAAATATATTTTTTATTGATTTCAGAGAGGAAAGGAGAGGTAGAAAGAGATAGAAACATCATTGATGAGAGAGAATCCTCGATCAGCTGCCTCCTGCACACCAGGGTTTGAGTCTGCAACCCGGGCATGAGCCCCGACCGGGAATCGAAATGTGACCTCCTGGTTCATAGATCAACACTCAACCACTGAGCCATGCCAGCCAGGCCGAAATTATCCTCATTTTGAAACAAGGGCCATACATTTCCACATCTTTTTGCCTCAACCTCACCTGGCTAGACAGGTCGCAGCTGGTGCCAAGACCCAGGAAGTGCTGGTCTACCATCAGGGCAAAGGGCTGGCTTTTTCCTGCCTCGGTTTCCCACGTGGAACCTGGGTGATGACAGGACTCCTCTCAGTGGATGCCTGGTAGAGCCCGCAGGTAAGTGCGACAGCACGAGAGCGGCCCCAGCTGGCCATCGAGGGCATGAAGTCTGGGTGACGTCCAGATGCACAGGCAGCCTCAACCAGGTTCCCTTCCCAGACTGACCTCCCAAATTCAGCTTCCCTCCTGAGCCTTCACTTAGTCCAGCCCCATCCTCTTCCACCTGGAACATCTCCGTCCGCTCCAACACGGTCCCAAGTTCTCACCCCGGGCCCCGCCTCCTCCCAAGTCGGTCCTCCCTGTATCGGCCACTAGAGGGCACCCGTGAGCACTCCAGTCAGGTCCTGCATCTCCCTTCCCGTCTGTCCTCCCCACAGCAGGCTCCAGAGCGCGCTCCCTCCCTCTGGCCACAGCCTGCCAGAGCACCCACCTCACTCAGAATAAAACCCTAAATCCCCTTCCTGACCCACAAGGCCCTGCACGACCTGCCCCCGTCCGCTCCCTGTCCTCTCCTCCCTCTCTCCCTCCCCTCACTCTGTGCCAGCCACACGGGCCTCCTGGCTGTTCCTCCTGCTACAGTCCTGTCCCGGGGCCTTGGCACAGGTGTTTCCTGTCTGGAAAGCCCTCCCCTCAGGCCACAGCTCGGCTCCTTCCCTCACGTCCCCTCAGAAAGGCCTTCCCTGAAAAGCCGGTCTGAAACGGCCACTGCCGTTCATCCCACTTCCCTGCTCTGCTTGTCACAAGAACTGGGTCTCCCCCCACTCACCCCTCCCTTATCTACCATGCCTAGGACAGTGCCTGGCACACAGGGGGCTTTCAAGGCATATCCCGCTGATGAATGAGTAAACGTAACTGGAGGAGGATGGGAGAAGTTGGAGTTCTTGTACACGGCGGGTGGGGATCGAAATGGGGCAGCCACCGTGAAAAGCAGAACAGCAGTTCCTAAAAAAAGTTAAACATGGAGTTTCCATGCGACCCAGAAATTCCACAATAGAATGTTGTGCACCCATGTTCACAGCATTATCCACAAAGGCCCCAAGGTGCCCACGGACGGGTGAATGGACAAACAGTGCGGATCATCCAGACGAGGGAATGCTACTCAGCCTTAAAAAGAAAGGGCATTGTCACCTGCTACCTACCCCAGGGACGAACCCTGAGGACATGGTGCTCAGTGACATAAGCCAGACACAGAAGGACAAATACCGTGTGATCCCTCTCACAGGGGGTCCCTAGAGGAGTCAGATCCACAGACAGAAAGCAGTCGGTGGGTGCCAGGGGACTAGTGTTTAATGCAGTGGTTCTCAACCTTCTGGCCCTTTAAATAGTTCCTCATGTTGTGACCCAACCATAAAATTATTTTCGTTGCTACTTCTTAACTGTGATGTGGCTACTGTTATGAATTGTAATGTAAATATCTGATATGCAGGATGGTCTTAGGCGACCCCTGTGAAAGGGTCGTTCGACCGCCAAAGGGGTCACTACCCACAGGTTGAGAACCGCTGGTTTAATGGGAACACTAATTTGGGAAGATGAGAAAGTTCTGGAGATAGATGATGGGGATGGTCACACCACAGTGTGAATATACTTAATGCCACTGAACTGTGCACTAAAAAATGGTTAAGATGGTAAATTTTGTTATCTCTTTATGATTAAAATTTTTAGAAAAGAAAAAAGTAACTGGGAAAAAAAAAAGGCTGCAGAGAACCTGCTGTCCAGCATCTTCAGTTTACAGAAAGGTGGGGGCTTTGTCTTCCTATCTCTGACTGAGCGGCATGTCGGTCTCTGCCCACAAAAAGAAGATGCTTTTCTTTCCTTGATTTTAGAGAGAGGGAGGGAGGGACATCGAATTGTTCCACTTATTTATGCATTCATTGGTTGATTCTTTATGTGCCCTCAATGGGGATCAAACCCAGAATCCGGGCATGTTGGCACGACACTCTTAATAAACCCAGCCAGGGCAGGAGGTACTTCCCTTGCAGGATGCTCCAGCTCTCAGACCTCAGAGCAGGGCCCTGGAGCCCCCATCCCAGCCCAGGACGGAAGTCCTTCCAAAGGAAGTCATGGCAATGGGTGCCAGGAGCCAGGCTAGCCATTGGGGACCAGGTGACACCCCTGGGACCTTCAGGGCCCCTCCGCTGCCCCCCACCCATCCCTGTGGCCAGCAACAGGAAATAAGCCAGAGGGGCTGCAGCATTTAGGAACAAGATTTATTCCAATTTAAAACAATTCATTTCAGGAGAAAGATATGAAAAGTCAACTTCCATCAGGCATCTCTGGATTAAGGGGTCAGGGCCCCGACACATGAGCAGAGCCTGCCGCGCACCCACCTGGACAGGACAGCTTCTGCCATCGGTTGGCATCCAGCTAATTGCACCCATCCCCCAGCACACGTGACAATACATGCATTTCAAATGACAAAAGGTTTAAAAACAGCATTTTATATAATATTTTTTTAAATAGGTTAAGGTTTAAATCGTCTGAAATCAGGACTGTGTAATATACAAGTATAACCCGACAGTGTTCACCCCACCAGCCGGAAGTTCCTGCACTGCCGCTAGGGGCATTGGCACTAAGACGTCTCAGGTCTCTCAAGGAGTTGGATGCCGGGGAATGGCTATACTGCAGGGCGATCGGACACAGTGGGAGGAGCTGGGAGGTTGGCACGTGAGAGAAAGCATTAGGAGGAGTTCATCAGGTTGAAAATCAAAGACACTGACCGGTAACCTTGCATGGGACCGGGACCTCTGGCCCCGGCTGGCACTGGCACAGAACTGGTCTTGGATTCCCCCCGGGACACGGGTTGGCCCTGCCCTCAGCTCCTGGAGTGGGGCCAGGCCCGTGGTGTTCCAGAAGGCCCAGTAAGGGGGTGGGGGGGGGGGAGAGGGGCTGGGGGCTTTAGCCAGCCTTGTGCTGTGGGATGCCTGGCACACTGCCTCCTCTCTAAGAGGAGCTATTCTCCCGGTGCCTCCCCCACATGCTCATGCACCTCTCAAGAGTCCAATCCAGTTCCCTTTTTGTGATCTGGACCCTTGAGAGGGGCTAGGACATCAAGATGCCTCCCTATGAGGACCTCAAGTCCTCGCACAGGCCCACCGCCAGCAGTACCACCTGCTTCCCCCCACTGAGGGCAAGAATGGGGTTATGTTCAACCCTCTCAAATAGACACATGGCACAAAAAGGACCCTTTTTGGAAAATTGGCTGAGAAGCTGGGGATCCCCAGCTCATTCTGCCCCCAGATGGAGCTGATTACCAGGAATGTAGCCACCCCCAACTTCTGCCTGTCTTTGGCTCCCCATTGCCCTGAGGCCTTCCTGGTTTGTCCTGCTGGTGGGATGGGGAGAGGAGGAAGGAGGGGCCAGCCACCCAGGACTGGCTCTTTGGGTGGGTTCAATTTTTGTGTTGTTTCTTTTGCATTTGTCAATGGCCCCAAAAAGGAGCGGCCACACAGACTGCTACTTTAGGGTCCAGGTGTAGTGGGTCCGTTCCCCTTCCGCTGTGCAAAACAAAACAAACACTGTAGTGTTCAGTCTACATCAGATGAAAAGCCAACTCCCTCTCCTCAAAAGACCAGCCCCCTGCTTGTGCTGCCCTCAGAGGCCCCTGGGAGGGGGACCTAGGCCAGGCAGCCCATGGCTCTGGCTTGATGCATGACCATGGCCTGGAGGCCGCCCAGGGCCAAGGTGCCAGCTGCTGGCTCCCACGCGACCCTCAACAGCTCTGGGCAAAGTGCCCCTGCTGCCTGCTTGATTCCCAGGGGTCAGCAAGTGCGTGCCACGGCGGCCACCGCGCCTGGGAACCACCACAGGACTCTCCCTCAAGCTCTCTCTGCTTCGTGGGAACAGACCTGAGAATATTCGGAAAAAGTCCCCAGCCCACAGTCACCACCGTCTCCAAATTGGCTACAAAATGGAATGAAAGCAAAAGTGACTTTCATCCAAGTGGGCCCTCTCCTGACTCCCGGGCCATGTGGGCTTCCACGGGTGCTCTCCGGCCTGGGTGCTGAGCACATGACCCTCGGGCACACAGGGAGAGCTCCAAGCAGGCCAGATGGCCCTGGAGACACAGCTCAGAGGACCCCTCAAGCCCAGGACCAGGCAACCACCGGAGGCTGAGACAGGGTCCAGAGATATCTTCACTGCAGAGGAGCCCTTATACTTTTTGTTTTTCCTTTAAAATAAAATAAAAAAATGGTTAGGCACTTCCCAGGGTGGGCAACAGGGGGAGCCACCCACCCCCACTTCTTGGAGTCCAGTGAGCAAAAATACAGCGTCGTCGTGAAGATGGCAATAACTTAAAAAAAAGGAAGAAAGATCAGTCACAGTCTCCACGTCCCCACGTCCCCACATCAAGGGACCAGGGCCAGCTGGGCGGTTCTGTCCCACGGTGGCCGGTGGCCGAAGGTGCAACCCCGAGGGGTTGGGGCCGAGGTCGGGGGGCCAAGGAAGGCCTGGAGGCGCTGGGGGCAGGGCACTTGTTTGTCTCATCTCCGCTTGTCTCATTTTTTTTTTTTTTTCTTTTTCCTTTTTTTTTTTCTAGAAAAAGGCGAGCCACAGTCAAGGCCAGAAAAAGGCAGCCTGTGCCGCTGACAAAAGGTGAGAAGGTGCACGAAGTATATAGAAAGAAAGATGTACATCCCCTGATAACTGTGAAATAAAAACCATTTGTTAAAAATATGAAAAAAAAATCAGCTCCTCTGCGGTCAAAGCCGCTGTCACATCATCACACAGGAGGGTCTGTCCCGTGGGCTCCCCACAGGGTCACACCAGGTTGTACTCCTTCAGGTTGAGCTGCAGGATGGTGTCCTTGACGGCCGCGAAGACAAAGCGGATATTCTCCGTGTCAGTGGCGCAAGTGAAGTGCGAGTAGATGATCTTGTCACTGTCAGGGTTCAGGTCCACAAACATCTTCAGGATGAACTCCCGGGCAGCCTGCGCATCCCGCTGAGGCCCTGGGGGAGGGGAGGCGGATTAGTCAGGCGGCCCAGGCCTGTCGTGCAAGGGACAAGGGACGGAGACTGGGGTGCCAGCCATGTGGGGCAGCTTATGCCACGGGCTCCTGGGCTGAGATGTGTCTGAAAGGAGGCAGCTTTCTGCGTGAGGGTGTGCACGGAGTCTGCACAGCCCCTCACTCATCTCCACCCACTTGGCCCATGGCCCCACCTAGCTGGGACCACCACTTGCTGTGCACACGGGATGCTCCCATCACCTCCAAACTGAGGCCAACCTTCCTTCCAGCCTCACCTCACCGGATTTCATTCACACTGCACCACAAATACACACCCACATCCACACACGGGCATGCATCCACACACATGTGCCCAGACCTACATGCACACCCACACACCCTTGCACATACAAACAGCTGCCACCCCAGCCTGGCTGTCCATCCAACTGTCCACACCCTTGCCCAGAGGCTTCTGCCCACAATTTTGGTCCTTCCTGTCTATGGTCTGCACCCACCCTAAGTCTTGGTCCATCATCTCCACTGTCCCTTCCCAGCTAACCTCCTACTCTCCCTCCAACAGAGTTCCTGTCTGCCCCACCAACACTCCCC